CCTCCTTCCAATATTTAGCCACTAATATTCTTGCTGCTGATGTAGCATAGATAAATAGTCTTATTTTATCTTTAGGGAAATTGTTTGTCAAAATTCCCAGAAGAAATGCTTCGGGGTTTTTTGCAAAAGATTTTATTAATACTTACTGTAATATACTACATTAAAAAACAAGCCTAAAGAAACAGAAGAATGCAAAGTCCTCTCTCACAGGTAGATCTTACCGTATTTTTCGCCCTATAACATGCACTTTTCCTCCTCCAAAAATGAAGGGGAAATGTGTGTGCGTCTTATGAGGCGAATGCAGACTCCTTGGCTTCAGCGATAGCAACGCGAAGCTTCCGAAGCCTGCACTCCGGAGGCTTCGCGTTGCTTCCGCTGAAGCCAGGAGAGTCTGCTCTTTGAGGCTGGCGGTGGGGGAAAGCAGTGCTTCCCCCATCGCCAACCCCAGAGGATGGGGGGCAGCGGGAAGGCGTGCGACGCCTTGCCGCTACTCTCCAACCCGGCTTCGAGGCTGGCGGTGGGGAAAGCAGCGCTTCCCCCATCGCCAGCCCCAGAGGATGGGGGGCAGCAGGAAGGCGCGCGACGCCTTCCAGCTACTCTCCAACCCTCCTTTGGGCTTTTGCGGGAGATGGGGGAATTCCCCCACCTCCCGCAAAAGCCTGCAAAAGCCTTGCGCTCTTTAAAGGGGCTCTGTGGCTTCTGCTGGCTTTTCTAGGAGGCAGAGTCAGTCCCTTCTCCTTCCTGCGGGCTTTTGCGGGAGATGGGGGAATTCCCCCACCTCCCGCAAAAGCAGGCAAAAGCCGCGCGCTCTTTAAAGGGGCTCCACGGCTTCTGCTGGCTTTTCTACGAGGGGGGGGAATCCCCCCACCTCCTAGAAAAGCCTGCAGGAGCCGCGCACCCTTTAAAGAGCGAGCGGCTCTTGGGGGCTTTTCCCCAAGGAGGGAGAAGGGACTGACTGGCAGAGTCAGTCCCTTCTCCTTCCTGCGGGCTTTTGCGGGAGATGGGGGAATTCCTCCACCTCCCGCAAAAGCAGGCAAAAGCCGTGCGCTCTTTAAAGGGGCTCCACAGCTTCTGCTGGCTTTTCTACGAGGGGGGGGGAATTCCCCCATCTCCTAGAAAAACCCGCAGGAGCCGCACACCATTTAAAGAGCGCGCCGCTCTTGGGGGCTTTTCCCCGAGGAGGGAGAAGGGACTGACTGGCCGTTTCAGTCCCTTCTCCCTCCTGGTCGAAAAGCCCGCAGGAGTCACGCGGGGCTCCTGTGGGCTTTTGCGGGAGGTGGGGGAATTCCGCCACCTCCCGCAAAAGCAGGGAGAAGGTGTTGGAGTAGCGCACAGGCTGTGTGCAGCCTGTCCACTGCTCCCAGAGCTGCGGGGGGAAATCATATTTTTTCCTTGATTTCCCCCCCTGAAAACTAGGTGCGTCCTATGGGCCGGTGCGTCCTATAGGGCGAAAAATACGGTAACTCTTGTTCAACACAGAAAGAGGTAAACCCTCCCAGCTCTCACCTGGTTTCCCTCTCTTCTCCCAGCCTTCCACCCTGGAAGATCTTCCCTTCCTTGCCTTTCACTCAGGGTCCTTCACCAACCATCAATCACTGTCACCTGCTTGCAATCCCCTCCTTAACCCAGAGTAGACAACAAGAAGCAAAAACACAAAAGCAAAGCAAATAATTGGGTTGCCATATTTTGAACAGCAAAAAAGAGGAACCATTTGCCAACTTCTACTTTTAACTATGGATCGCTATGATGACTCTCACTTTACATGAAAAAGAGGACATATGAAAACCCTAAGAAAAGTAACAAAAAGATAAAAGTAATAAAAGAATGAGAAAATAGTAAAGGAATAAAAGATAAAGATAAAGAAGTAAATAGGACTTCCAATTTTCCAACTATCAGTTGTATGTATAAGAGTCATTCAAAGTACTCAAAATGTTTACTCCAGGCTGGTATCTAACTGTTCCTCCTTCTACTAGGCGATGTTTTCACAGTCTTCGGGCATCTGGAATGCATTGATTTTTTTCTTCCACACAAAATGTCTAAAAGAGGTTATCCAATTACTATTACAGATAAAAGTCAACAATAAGTCTTCCTCCAGTCCAGCGTAACAACTTTACTTCCAATACTGAAAAACAATAAATCGTCGACCTTTATTCCCTCAAGAATCTATTCGCTGTGGCCATATATTGAGACAGTGATTCATAGTTATTTACTTCTATTTTATTTTCAGCCCTCTAGTGCTGCCTCTTCTTAAGCCAGCAGTAGGGTCTTATTTCAGGTGTGCCTTTGAACCATTTAACCAGCAAACAGAAAACTTGTCATAATTTATAGCTGTTTCAGAAGTAATTGAAGGAAGGAAGGTTTGCCCTAGGGACTGATCCCTAGGGTTATTAAGTGGTGTTTGGGCAAGATTTTGATTCTTCCACTCCCTGATCACTTACCTGTCCAGGTTCCTTGAAGGTTCCTTGGTCCCATAACGAGACAGCAGCCCTTCCATAGCATTGGAAATTAATCAGTTATCTCTGTTCCCCCAATGGCTTTCATTAATCACTATCTAATTATCACTGTTGATGGAGTTTTGACAGGAGACGTCTAATCAGCCATGATTCTGATCCAGAAGTTCCAGTCCTTCCCCCAAAATTCTAATACTGTATGCTTATTGAGAAGCAAAATAGTACAGCTGTTCTCTTGCTTACCTAACACAAACACTGTACTAGAATACCATTTTGTATTCTGATATTTGCCTCCCTCAACTGTTTACTTCCTCAAGGCTCACCCACACATCCCTTCCAAGCTTCCTTCATCTCCCAAAACCCGCTTGCCAGTTCCCTGAGAATATAAGAAGCACTCTGCTGGATCAGACAAATGACTTATCTAACCCAGTATCCCATTTCCTGCAGTGGTCAACAATATGAATTTCTGTAATCTCATTTTAAAGACATTAATTTAGAAGCCATCACATCTTGTGGTAACAAATTCCAGAGTTTATGCATTGTATGAACTTTGCTCTATCCTGAACAATTCAGCTCAATCAGGTGACCTCAGATACTAGTATAAAAAGGATTTAAAACTTATCTCAAACAACTTTCTTCACACCATGCATAATTTTATACACTTCTCTCATGCCTTCTCTTACTTGCCCTTTTCCAACTCTACAATACACCTTTTATGTTACGGATTTTGTATGTGATGCCAATAAAAGGTTTGATGATGAATATACTTTTTGAGATGCAACGACCAGAAATGTACACAATATTCAAGTGTAGCATTAAAATATTAGTAGGGAGGTGTTTTATCCCTTTCCTAATGATTCCTAGCATGTACCACCTGTTCCCCAGCTAGAATATTATGTAGATTTCTAGTTACCACATCTCAAAAAGGAGATGTATTGTAAAGCTAGAAAAGGGGGAAGGGGGAATGACTAGGGGGTCCTAAAGTTGCAGCAACTCCCTCATGAATAAAGGTTACCTTTTTAGGGCTGTTTGGTTCAGGAAAAGGGTTGTTTTAATTGAGCTATCATCATGACCCCAATATGTTTTTCCTGGTAAGTCATTGCCAGTTTATATTCAGTTTTTTTGCTTGAATGTGAATCACTTTATAGTTGCTTGCATTGAACTGTGCTTGCCATTCTGATGCCGTCACCAGGTGTGGAGAATGCCTTTTGGATCTCTTTGTTTTTATCATTCTGAGTAATCTGGTGTCATCCACAAACTTGACTACTTCGCTGTTCACCCCTATCTCCAGGTTATTTATACACAAGTTGAAAAGTACGGGTCTCAATACTGGGGGCTTTCTACATCTCTCTGTGAGACCTGTCCATTTATTCCTATCCTATTTCCTGTTCCTTTAACTAGTTACTAATTCATAACTGAACAAGTCCCCTGATTGCTAAGTTTACTCTGGACCTTTCAATGAAGAACTTCTTAAAAGCTGAAAATCCAAGTATACAATGAGCACTGGAATCCCCATAAATATTTTCTTGTTTGCACAAAGAACTTCAAAAGATCAGTGAGATAGGACTTACCTTTGCAGAAATCATGTTGACTCTTCAACTTGTTATTCATTATGCTTGATAATTTTATCTTTAATAATGCTTTCCAGCAATTTCCCAATCCTCCAGTATGGAATTTCCCAATCCTCCAGTATGGAAGCCAATCTTAGGGACCAGTTACAAAATCAGTACTTCTACATTTGATTTTTAAAGATATTTTAGATGGATAGAATTTCCTCTGACAAGCCAGATACAAAAAATTCATTCATCGGCTGCTTATCCTCCTGAAGCATACCTCCAACTCCCACCATCCTGAGGTTCAGCTGCCTTTGTACTTGGTTTCCTGCTTCTGATGCATTTAAAGCATTTGCTATTGTTGTGATCAATATTCAGTCATGTTCGTCAAATTATTTTCCCTACCCCAACCCTTATTGTCTACTTGCATTTCTTTTGTCAGTTTGTCTTTCTTTTCGCTCTCCACAATTTGGCAACACTTTCATTTTCAGAAGGAAGCTTTCCTGTGGCTAATAGCTTTCATGATTCTGTTTGTTAACCACACTACCATCTTCTTGAAGTTATTGGTATTTTTGTAGTATATGCATTTGAGCCAAGCTTTTATTGTTGGAGATTTGTATAAACTCCCAAGTGCTTTGGAGAGGTCAAACTTTCTTGACTTTTGCTTCAACTTCCTTTTTACCCTCCTTTTAAAGACATTTCTTCTTTGAAGTTAAATATTACTTTTGCTGGACATTTCTGGCAATTTTCTTTTTGCATACATGTTGAATTTGATAGTGCTGCAGTGAATGTTAAGTTGAACACTTACTGTCTTGCACCATATTGTCCTCACAAGTTACTTTCTAAAGCCCAATACATTTCAAGTCCATGACTGTGCTGTGGTTTTAATCCACATCTTCTGGAGCTAACCATTGCCCTTCACTTGCTCTTTAAATAGTTTGTGCCATTTTCACAGTTGCATACAAGTGCCTGATCCACCACCTATTCTCTCCCACAGGTGTACCTGGCCTATGTGGCTCTGAAAAACCTGCAGGCTGAGCCACCTGTTCCTTACAAGCGGACCTTGGATGAAGGATCTGTTGCATTGACCACCCTTTCATCTTCCACTAGCACTTCCCTTCCAAACAATATGGGTTACCCTGAAAATGTGGGTGTAGCCTCCTACCCATCCACTGCTGTACCCCACCGGCTGACATTAATGAATACTGATGACTAGGCAATTATTAATTTCACAGTAAATAAAAAGGGGATAGAAAGAGAATTTATTGCCAAACATGAACATTTATTTTATATGCGTAAATCTGTTTCTGCTAAAGTAGAGCACCATGAAAAATAGGGAGACCAACCACCTCCTAAGCACAATAAGGACATGGGGCCACAGCTTCACAAAAGAAGTGGGTGCTCACCCACTCACCATTCCCATTGTCTAGGCTTGCCCAGCTTCTGCAGCACTAGCTGTTAATCCTGGCTTTAAAGGGCTAAAATTAACTAAGAATAGCCCCCCACTGCTGCTTCTATATGAACTGCACTACTATGGCAGCTGTGCACATGTGTTGTTTTCCAGTCATAAAAAGCCAAAGATATTACAGCTAGGGGAGATAACAAAAAAGGGAGACAACGTGCATGTGCAACTGCCACACATTTTTTTCTCAACTGGATATAGCAAAATGCAGCTATTCTGGCTGCCAGTCCCAGCTTTAAGAAATCAAGGAAATAATGAAAGCACTGGAGTGACATTTGCCCTCTGCCACCCAGCTGGTGTGCAGCACTTCAGATACAGTCCTTTCCCCATTGTACTGGTTCAATGCAACTTGTTTAAGCCTTGTGAATGTTAATATATGGACTTGTGTGAATAATTTTAATCCTGAACAAGGCTATAGACAGATACATCCTGAAGCTGTCGTCTCCATAGCCATTGTTGCACTTTTGCTACATTAGATGCTAGCCACTGAAGGCTATATCAGTATAGAACCTAATCCAGTAAAGTTTCTCTGTGATTCTGTGAAAGATATAAATGATTAGCTTATATGTGTATGCTGCCACACAGACTCAAATTTACCTAGTAATGACTACTGAATGTTTCAAGTAGCTACTAGCTTTCTACAGCAAGCAACAGCTCCTTAAATATCACAAATATCTGGAAAACAACGGGCTATTTATGATAACCAAAACAGAAACCTAATGACTGCTACTGGATAATCATATTAAAGGTATAGAACTTAAAACATTACTAGTCATTGCCCTATGACTAGTCACTCAAACTATGGCAACTCTTAGGCTTTACTTCTATTTGAAATAGTTTTCGGCCTTTGATGCTGAAAGAAGTTTAAGGGGAAATGCCATCTTGCTCCTGTGCATGTCTGCTCAGAAATAATTCCAACTGAGTTCAATAAGACTTACTTCCAGTAAAGTATGCATAGGATTGCAGCATGAGTGCAATTTTTCATATATCCCAATTCAAGAAGAGAAATCATCCATATGTAAAAATCCATCTGCATGTGGGTGCATGTCCTCATCTGCAGAGATAGAAGAGCTCCCTCCACGCAAAATGCATGACATGTTCGCATAGCATTTCCAATAAAGTAGAAAACTTCTCATACCATTACTTGCAAGCCAGTAATTCTAATTCTTTTCCAAGCTGCTTTCATACATGAGATTTATAGCATTTTTGCTTAAGACTCTAATCTTTACATATTCATACATGGGAGTAAGCCCCACTGAACTTGGCAAGATTTACTTTTGCATCAGCACACTGTAAATCGGTCTACAATGCAAACTGAGAGCTTAAATTGACTAGAACATGCTTTCAATTTATCTTCCATATTCCATCTCACATTAACATTTACATCTGGCCAGAATAGCACTAGAGAGGCTCAAAGGCCCCTTTTAGTGTCATGTGGAGACACATGACATTTTGAGTGGCTAAGATAAAAAGTAATTTTGCTGAGACAGCAGTGTCTTTGAGAACCAGAGAAAAGTGGCAACTACAGAAAATGTGTTTTATCATAACAAATATTAAGGCTACAATTGTATGCCTGCTAACTTAGAAAGCCCCACTAAACTCAGTAGGTTATATCCAACTAAACTTTATTCAGAGTAGGCACACTGAAATTAACTGATCGAAGTTAGTCATTTCCATTAATTTCAGTGAATCTATTCTGGTAAAACTTAGTTTGATATAAGCCAATGAGTAGAGAGAGCTTCAAGAGATGGGGGAAAGCAGCCACTGTTTTAACAGAAAGCAGCAATACTGTACAGGAGAATAGTATGGGAAATGAGGATGAATGTACAGGAATGGGAAACACAAAGATTTCAATACAAACAGGCAACAAAACAGATTTCTTTTTATTTAAATTCCCATCCCTCCCACAAAGGCACTAATTATTTGGGATGATGGTTGCTTGTTTTATTTAAAGTAGATGAGGAATTAACCATCAAATAATATTCAAAATGAAGCAAGTGTAAGAATGTATTAGGGTGGTCTTTTCTTGCCAGCAATATTTTTTAAAAATAGAGAAAAATAATCAGTATCTAAAGAAAATAGATTAAATTTGTAAGTGCTCCTGTTTATCTGGATAGACCCACGGCACTCAGATTTCTTCATAGCTGTGGTCAACCCAAAGCCCAAAACATGAGCACAATGTGAGAGGAGGGAGATGTCCAGTTGTTGTTGTTGTTGTAGTTGTTGTTGTTTTAAAAATATTTCCTAGCTGTGGCAGTTCATTACCAAAATAGAGTCAGGAGTATAGAAAGTGAGGTCAATGATAAAAAGGGCCCTTGAGAAACCTACCACCTATATATCACCAGCAGTAGTCATTATAAGCTTGGAGTCCAAGCTGTTGCCCACCTCACCCCTTCTATATCAGTCTCTTGAGCAGAAGGACAATCCATTGTTTTGACCCAAATCACACTCAGGTAAAAGTTCAGGGTGCAAGAAGAGATCAACAGGTGACTTAACTTCGTTGGTAAGAATAAAAAAAGAAAAAACCCCAGAAACTTTGTTTTTAACTTCCTGTGAAGGATTCCCCTCATCCTTCTCGGCCAAAGTATCTTTGTCATGGGCTCAGTGTGAACTATGCCGGCAAACTCAACTTCTTGCCTTTTAGAACTGAAGGAAAAAAAGAGAAAAAATAATGTATGAGAATTTTGTCTTGCTATAGCTGTAGAGCTGTTGAAAGTACAAAAATATAACAACCTCTGGTAAGGGAAAAATACATTTTCAGCAACCTCTGGAAACAAAAAGGTGCATCAACTAGAAATAGTAATTATAGCCTTGAAATTAAAGTAGCACTATAAAATGCATGGTCACATCTGAAAATTCTGCTCATTATATACATATAATAAAAATGCAAGTGTCGTCATGCTGCAGTTTGCTTGAACACAGAGCACCGCAAACTACAGTGTGACGAGAGGTGGTAGCTGGGAGGCTAAAATTAGCCAGAGGTAGAGTCAGAAAGTCTGCAGCCCCCATCCAATCAATTGCCCTGCTCCACTGTCTGTTGTAGTAATGCAATTTGTAATACAATAAAACACAACGTAAGAAGAAGCAATAATAATACAATCAAAACCAATTTACGTAATGTGATGGATATACAATCTCCTGTCTTCAGCCAAAAATCCATGGAGACACTGCAGATCAGAGGGAGGTAGCAGGCTGGGAAACCGTGAGATTTGCAGAAGCAGGAAAAAAATATTTCAGGAAGGGAATCCATAACAGCCCAATGAGACCTAAGCATGTGCTCAATGACCACAATATGATGTACATGAAGGGAACAGGACCATTCCACACTGCAATATTTGGTGTGCAAATGTGTGTACACATACACCCAGCCCAAATATACCCTATCATTATCTTTAAAAAACAACAAATGCCTAAGTTTTCAACATCCTACAAGAGATATTCCAAGTCATTTTAGTTCTTGAGACAGAAAACCCAACAGGCACCCCTACATAAGTAAAAATACCACAGTAAACTAAATAACTGACAACCAGATGCCTGGTAGGTCAATTCACTTGGCAGAGCTGGACCAGATGTGCTCACAGTACTGTATATGCATAAGTTCCTAGCATTTATACTTCTTCATGTGGGAAATATTTATCTGTATCATCTCTTCCCAGTCACAAGGAGAAAGAACTAAGAAGCTAATTAATTTGTTGCCTATTTACAATAAGTATAGTGTCAATAAGTCTTTCCAAGCTACAGAGGTGGAGGCCTGATACTAGCTGTACAGCACCCTCTAGTGATATTTTAGACGGCAGCACTGCTCATTCAAGATAAAATATGCGTCTTCTTGAGATAGACTCCCAACTCACTGCGTTAATTCCACTCCACTCTAGAAGCCTTGAATCCTAGCCTCCCATTTTATCGTATATACACATGATCACATAAAGAAATTAGTTTCCACCCGTTATTTCCAAAATACCTTTTGTAATGTAGAGGTAGAAGAAATCGCAGTAGAGTATGGTTTGCACCAAGCCAGCCACAATGGCAATGAGGTCGAAGAAGCCCTCAAACTGGTAACGCCAAATCCAGTTGAACAAGTAGAGGGCACGGTAGACACCCAAGGCGAAGAGATAGTGACTTGTGATGGTCTCGGCCTCACCTGTCTTGCTGACCATGAAGAGCTGTGGCAAGATAGCCACTGACTCCAGATAGATGGAGAAAGTCCAGAGAATCTGGAGGCATCCAAGAGAGATACAATATGATTGTAATTTACATATTACTGACAATGAAGCACAGCTCTGGGCCAGTCCATAATAACCTCAAAGTTGTGCTGCCATCTCAACAATAGCTTGCGGATTTTAAGAAGGGAAAATTCTAGATGCTGAGAAGTGAATTATTTGGACTGTCTACTATTACACAGCAAGATTCAGGACAGAAATTAAGGGTATATCTGCCCCAACTCATTTTTACATCATTAGCCAATGGAAATACTGTAACGAGTAGATGCAGCCTGCATTAGATTGCCTGGAACTAGCATTTGCTTTGGGTGTTGTGTGCAAAACCTTGTACCTCACTCAAGAGATACAAACCACTCCCTAATTCAGAAATAGAGACCAGATGTCATTGGACTCTAACTCCCATCAGTCCCAGTCATCATGGCCATTGGTCAGGGATGATGGGAACTGTAATCCATCAACATTTGGAGGACAAATATTCTAGTCCTAGCCATTCTGTCCCTCTGCCCTTCCAGTTACAGGAAATGTTTTCCTTTTTTTAACAAACTGCATTTCTTTTTTGGCAGAGCAGCATATAGTCTCAGCTACATCACAATCCCACTTGAATGCCATCCACCCCTCACTGGAACAAATTTTGAATAATGAACTTCAGGTTTATTTGTCTGTGCCTAAGCACACAAGTGCAGTTGAACATATTATTTGTTGCTTTAGTAAACAAAACTAAGCCCAATCCTATAATCCTAAAAAGAGAAAACAAATATATAGAGAATTAGTACCGAGGCAAAATAAGACAAAGTGCAAGAAGTCAATGCCAACACATAAGATTGAAAGATATCCTATGACATAGGTACCCCTTGGCCAGAACACTAAATGATGCCAGAGGTTGGTGATCCCTGACTGCAGCCTGTGTAGCTTTGCTCTAGGAAACACTGCACTCCCCCCCACTGCTCAGTTGATCACCCAAGAAGTGGGGGATAGACTAGATTTAAAAAATTTAGGAAACCTCACCCAAAAACAGTGATTTTGGTGCTGTTTCCACAGCTTTCCCCATCACATTGCCATACATCAATTCAGCAAAATTTCCCCCGTACGCCATTTTTACACCCCAAAACCATGACGTCAGGAATTTTCCTGACATACGGCAAGCCTAGACTAGAGTGAATTTGGTTGCATAGGGTGAAGGGCTTCAAATGCAGCCATCCTAATGGAGAGAAAGCAGCACCGGGATGGTCACCTCTACATGTCTTTCTCTGCATTTTAAACTCCCTGCCTTCCAAACTTCTGACTGGGAGGCTCAATTACACTGGGGGGTAAAATTCACAGGGAGGGACACCCCTGCATGCCTTTCATCTCCATGGGTTTGTGCATTTGCGCACACACAACTGGACACTGCTGTATGGATGTGTTACTATGTGGACAGGCAGGTCTGAATCTTGCTACATTTGCTGGCATGTGGCTTCTACCAACCCCTGCATGTGTGGAGCCAAAAAGATTGCCTTCCCCTGTTTTATGAGCAGCCGTTTGGGGGCTTGGATCTTAGTGCAAAACAAGACCAACCTATATATTAAATTACCTCTAGGGGAGTGAAATCATGATTCACTAGGAAAGCTAACACTGCTGTGGGAAAGACCAGGAACTCCACTCGGAAGGTGTCATGGTTGCCATCATAGGTGGCTTTGAATTTGCTATAGATCATCCACACTGTGGCATAGGAGCATGCAATATAAACCACCTATAGGAGACAAAATAGATTAAGAGGGATCACTGAGATCAACTATCACCCCACCACCCCAATTCTTAATGTAAAATAGCCCTCCTATAGTCTAATCATGTTAACAGAGAATCCCTAGGAAACCTGTCTTAAAAATTAAATAGTCCCTCTCATATTTCTAGATTCAAAAGCCCTCTTTAGCATCCAGCCAACCTCCCCCATGCACCCCAAATCCCTTATAACAATGTATTTCCTCCCTTTTCCTTAATTCTACTAGCCTCACATTGAAAAGTGGTACACCAGGCTTGTAGATCTTCTCAGTACGTTCTGTAACTTACTTTTCAGTACAGTGGTACCTCAGGTTACATATGCTTCAGGTTACATACACTTCAGGTTACAGACTCCACAAACCCAGAAATAGTGCTTCAGGTTAAGAACTTTGCTTCAGGATAAGAACAGAAATCATGCTCCGGTGGTGCAGCGGCAGCAGGAGGCTCCATTAGCTAAAGTGGTCTTCAGGTTAAGAACAGTTTCAGGTTAAGAATGGACCTCTGGAACGAATTAAGTACTTAACCCGAGGTACCACTGTATTCTTTTTCAAAGTTTTAGTTCACTGTTTTGCTTTTAACCTTCTGGTATAATAATATGCTGTCGTTAAGCTAGTCCAGAAATATGGGGCAGAAAGACTTCAAAGTCTTAGACTATAATTATTCCGCCTGACGAAGTGCCCTGCAGAACTCAAAAGTTTGCTTCCTCTTATATCAACATTTTACAACTGCATCCTGCACACACATACCTGGAGATAAGCTTCACTGAGCTCAGCAGGACTTACTTCTGAGTACAAAGGCCTGCACATGTCACAGTTGAACAGTGCAACTCTACCTAGTCAGAAGTCAATTGTATTGAGTGGGCTTACTCCCAGGTAAGTGGGCACAGAATTGCAATCCGCCTAATCCTATCTCCTACTACTGTAACCGACTGTGATGTCAAGGTGTTTCAGGCAGAGTGAGGGGTAGAAGCTGAGAACAAGGCCTTCTCTCCTACCTAAACATTTTCCTTTCTCTCTGATTTATGCTAGACCCACACTTCATCCAAGCCTGTTATGCTCTTCTTCCACCCAGTCCCATTTAACCCACGGTCGAAGCCAGTACCTTCATGGACGTGTTGTACAAGGAGATGTAGTTGGTGAAGAGGTCTAGGTACCGAGTGGTGAAGACAATGGCAAAAAGAATTTGGCTCTTCCCAGAAATCCCTGCACAGAGAAGCACAGGGCAGTGAAACTCACAGATAACCACAAGGGTTCTGTGAAATAACAAATGTTTAAAGTAGCCATGTTCATTCACAATAATTTTACGCGCGCGCACACACACACACACACACACACACACACACTCAAAAGCAATATAGTAATCAATATATTTATTAGGATCAACTAAAAGATAATGAAGAATTAAGCAAACTCTTCAGGATTTCACCATCCAGCCTCACAACCGCTCAAGCCTCAACACAAAAAATACATAGGCATACCACGCATAGGCACAGAATAAAAATAATCCAAAAGGGCTATAGAGGCAGGATGGTAGTGTGCTG